TTTTTTTTTTTTTTTTTTTTTTTTTTTTTTTTTTTTTTTTTTTTTTTTTTTTTTTTTTTTTTTTTTGTCAAATTAAAAAGAAAGTCAATTCTTCTAAATAATGAATTAGTATTCTACAAAAAAGCCATCCTCAAAACGTTTTCAAATGAGAAATATTTTGAACGGTCACAAATTGAAGATTAGGTTCCTTGACCTTTCCCAGATTGCGGGGCTAGCCTAGTCTCAATTGAGACAATTGAGACCAAGAGAGATCCCTTCCTCCGACACATTTAAAGCTCTATTGACTTTTTCAAACAATGATCGATGAGGTATCTTTGTTAGAAGTGCACAAACAAGTTCCCAACACCTTAGACTCCTTCGCCCCCGATCCTCAAGTTCATCACCCTGGTACTCCGCTGCTCGTCCTCTAATTTCAAGAAAAAAAGTTTCAGCCATCTCCCCAAATAAAAACAAAAACAGTCCGAAGACAAAAATTCAACCTAAAAAACCATTTTAAACCATAAATTAAAAAGATAAAAAAAAATGATATCAATAAAAATCTTATTTGATTTTATTTATCAATGTATATAAATAATTTATTCGTTTTAATATAAGACTATATTTTATTTTAGAGGATCTAGCCAATCCAATCTTACTTCTTTTTTTTTTTTTTTAATTTTAAAATTGAAATTATAACCCTATAAAAACAACACTAAAAATATATATATCTTATTAAATCATAAATTTATCTTCCTTCCATTAAAAAAAATAAAAAAAAAATCCCTAAAATTTGAAATTTAAAAATTCTAATAGATTATCAAAATCAACTATATATAAAATTTTATCATTTAAATATTGCAAATTTAATTACCAAAAAAAACAAAACTAAAATATAGAAGCTGCAATTTGATATTCAAATTACAAATTTGGAAACTTAGATCAAGATATTTTCATCAATATATTTTCATCAATATATTTTCCTAATCTCTCTTACCTAACGCCTCTATAAAAATTCACATATTATTACTGTAAATTTTCTAAATCAAACATGGAACTTCCTGACGACGTCATCATCGAGATTCTGAGCCGCTTACCCTTCCACGCCGTCGGAAAAATCCGAGCCCTCTCAAAATCCCACAACCAAGCCACCTACACTTCATATTTCAAAGCCTTAGCCGCCGATCACCAACCCCTCCTACTCGGCTTCCTCCTCCAAAGCCTACGAACCACCGCCACCGGGCGTAGGCACGTGCTGTCTTTCGCCACCCCCCAACCCAACTCGCCGCCGTTAGAATTATCCCTGAGCTTCCTCCCCGGCCAGTCACCGCAAGTCCTAGCCGTCGCTCCCAACGGCCTCGTCTTATTCCAAACCCGCCACCGGACACGTTACCAGAGACAACTCTACACCATTTGTAAACTCCCCACAAAGCAATGGCAATGCATTCCAATTCCCAAGACGCGGTTTTTTACGTTGAATATTGCCATGTACGTCACGCCTTCGAGCCCTCTCCACTTCAGAATCATCCGTTTATTCCGTGATACAACCTTCTCGAAACGACGTCGTCCGGTTTGCTACACCGTTTGCGAGATTTTTGATTCGGAGTCTTGGCGGTGGAAGCGGCTTGAGGATTTAGTTCATGACAATAGCTTAAGCTTTGTCGAGCCGTTTTGTGTGGCTGTGGTCGTTGGTGGGTTAGCTCATTGGAAATTCTTTGACGAGAAGTCTATACTTGCGTTCGACTTCCTCTCCGAAACATGGTCGAGTATCGCCGCGCCGGAGGCTATAACGGTGGAGCAGGAGGCTAGGGAAAGAACCGAGCTGTTCAAGAGCTGGCACACGAAGCTTGTGGAGTACAAAGGGAAGTTGGGGCTAATACGTGAGTTTTGCGAACCGGCGGCGGCGCGGAATGAGCTGTGGGTGATGGAGGATTACAAGGAAAGGGTTTGGACCAAAAAGTGGGAATTTTTGGAGTCGAATCCGATGGCCGTGTATGGATCAGATACTTTGATGGCGATGGAAAATAATGAAAAAGTGAAGTTTTGTAATGTGGAGACAGGTAATTACAGTTACCGACAGTTGGAGCGATCCCATTATTACGGTTCTGAGCTTAAGGTTTTTCCTTTCTCGTCGGATTTTGAGCCGTGGGATTTTTACCCTCCGCCGCCACGTTCACCCAACCCTCCAATTGTCTCTAAATTGCTTCGCCGGAGTCCCCCCGACAATTCCAAATAACTTTTTGTTTTTTTAGTTTTTATTTTTTATTTTTTATGGGATGTTATGTGTATAAATTCTACTCCAATGATTTATTATTTTTTTTTTTTATGGAATATTAGTTTTTCCTCGTACAATTTTTTTCTTTTTGGAATTTTTAAATGGTTTTTGTTCGAATAATAACCTTTAAATATTTATTTAAAATTTTTTGAAAGTTTTAACTAATTCTTATACTAAATATAAAAATTATATATATTTGAACTCCGGTATTGAAAATTCTATCTATTTAAAGTAAAAGTTATTTTCATCCGTATCTTAAAATATGTATTTTTAATTAAATTTTTAAAAATTTAAGAATTTTTTTGAAATATTTTTAAAATTTTAGGAGTATTATGGAACTTTTAAAAATTTAAATATCTATGAAATAGGATTGAGAACCTATTTTTAATTTAAAAAAATTTAAATAAAGTTTTTGAATGAAATGAAAATATAAAATTTAATAGAGCTTGAGTGGTGCACAAGTTTAATAAATGCTATGTGTAGGTAAAAAAAAATATATATTGAGAGAATCTTTTTATTTTATTCTATAAAAAAAAAAAAAAAAAAAAAAAA